GATCCTCCCACCTTAGTGTCTAGAGTACCTGGGACTATAGGCATATAATACGCCTGCATCAATTCTTGAAAATACAAAAAATAATTTTTACAAAAAAAGGTATCATATTTTTCAGCATAGATACAGAATACTATTCACCCATAAAAGATGAAATCACATCATCTGCAACAATATGGATGGACTTGGAAGACACTGTGGTAAGTGAAATAAGCTAGGCACAGAAAGATAAGTACTGCATGATCTCACTCCTACACAGAATCTAAAAAAGTTAATCTCGTAGAAGTAGAGAGTAGACTAATGATTACCAGAGGCTGGGGGGGAGGGTGAGATGGGGATTACAGAGAGGTTGGTCAAGGAATAAAAGTTACAGTTAGGAGTTCTGGTGCTCTATTGCACAATAGGGTGACTAGTCAATAATAATGTATTACACATGTCCAAATGGCTAGAAGAGGGAACTCTGAGTGTCTCCTCATAAAGAAACAAATGTTTAGGGCTACGAATATCCTAATTACTTTGATCTGTTCATAATACAGTGTATATATAATTATCAAAACATCACTTTGCACCCCTACATTTGTAACTATTATGTGTCAATTAAAAATAAAATCAAGGCCTGGGGATTTAGCTCAGTGGTTACGGCGCCTGCCTTGCAAGCGCAAGGTCCCGAGTTTGATCCCAGGTACCAAATAAATAAATAAATAAATAAATCAAACTACATTGGAGATGTAGCTAAGTGGTAGAACAATTTCCTACCAGATGGGAATCTCTGCATTCAATCCTCAGGACAGCATGAATGAATGATACTGTTTTTACTTGTATTTATTTATTTATTTATTTGGTACCAGGGATTGAACTCAGGTCCTTGAGCCTGCAAGGCAGGCTGCAGAACCACTGAGCTAAATCCCCACCCCTACTGTTTTTAAACATATAGTAACTGCAAGTTTGTGAACACTGTAATCTAATTTAGATTTAGATTAGTCTTTCCTCCTACTGTCATTCACTTAATAACTATTCTTCAGGGCCGGGGATTTAGCTCAGTGGCACTGTGCCTGCCTTGCAAGCATAAGGTCCTGAGTTTAATCCCCAGTACCACAAAAAAAAGAAAACAACAAAAAAAACCATATTCTTCAAATATGGATACAACACTGTACTAAGCTGTAGGGATATACTTAAGTATTCAGTTCCATGTAACACTACTGAGACACAGGCCTTTTCCTCAAGGAGCCCAGTAACCAGACACAGAAATGTGAACACAATTCCCTGTGATATGAGAACAATATACCAAGAGCACTATGGGAGCACTAATACTTGTTTCAGCCTGAAGGTTTCAAGAAACTATTTATTAGTCCTGTCACAGGCAATAATGACATAACATCCTAGAAACATGGTTACTGTGAATACAACTGCAAGCCAAAGAAGTAATCCCCTAATCTACCATAGCAAGGAATATATAAACTTTGCACAGAAATTATCATCCCAATCTGATTATATCAGAATTTCTAGGGGGCTGGTGCCCAGGCACCAATATTTGTGGAAACTCCCCAAGGGATTATAAATGTACAAACAGGGTTGAAAACCACTGGCACACTGATTAAGTCACCGCTTTAGGAGAGACTTGAGCTTGGAATCCTATCAACAGGACTCTAAAGGCAGCAATTCTAAGTCAGGACTAGTCCCTAAGGATGTTTGATCCCCAAGGAGATCCAAAGTCTGAAACTATTTTCACTTGCAACCAATCTCTTCCTATGTGCTAATAAAATGAAAGATAAGATTTCCTATTTACTATCTCATGCACTTCTGTCATAAACCAAGAAAAATAACGATAATCCTAAATACTATGTGTTGACTAAAAGGCTTAATTTTTAGAACTTTACTCTTTCAACCTAGACAACTACAGACCACTGAAATTACATACTTTTGGTACATGGATACCAAATCCTACTAGTCATTTTCATTATTTATTTTTAAGAACAACACAGGCGCACACCTATAATCCTAGTATTTGGGAAGCTGAGGCAGACGGATGGAGACCAGCCTGGGTTCTATAATAAGTTTAAGGCCAGCTTGGACTACACAGCAAGACCTTGTCTCAAAAACTCAAACAAACAAAGAACAAAGCGACATTAAAAAGCATTCATCTTGCAAGATCAACTGGACCAAAAGAGTTGGGCCATTAGGGAAGGCCCTGACTGACAGGCTGAGGAGTTTGAATGCAATCTTACTGAAAAACTGGGTTACACTTTGGTTTAATATCAAAAATTAATTTAGAAGGTTCTTCTGGTAGACTCATATGCAGGATGCACTGAAATTCAGGGGGCTGGGCAGCTGAAGATAGAGAGAACATGTCTAGTTCTTTCAAGCACATTTCCCTGAATACAAGTATTTGGAAACTGTGAAGGTTTTAAAAAAATTGTACAGTACAATATACACCTTAGTATCACTCAAACTAAGTGCCAAATATTTTAGTCAAATTATAAAAACGTACTGCTAGCTCTTAAATATTAGTATTTTACTACCGCAAAATAGTCTGCCTATAAATTTCTGTATATGTCAAAAAGTTAAAAGGATTCTGCATGTTTTCACCATAAACAAATGGTAACGTTTGAGGAGATAGGTTTAACTTGATTTAAGCATTACACAATATATACATGTATCAAAATATCAATCACATGGTTCTCCGTAAATATATATATCTTCTACGTTTTTATGTATGTTAAAAACTAAATTTAAATTTTAAAATATATTTTAAATATTATCGTAAAATTTATAGTAGGAAAAATAAGACATCCAAGAGATTAAACATCCATTTTATGATAGCATTACAGAAAGGCAATATTTAAACTTTTCTATCCTGAGAAAATTACATAGCCTAAATCTAATGAAGATAAATAGAATATATAGATAAGTTAAGAGCTAGGGATGTGGCAGAGCACTTGCCTAGCATGCATGAGGCACGGGGTTCAATCTCCACCACAGCAAATATGAAAATCAATGACTTGTGCTCGCTTCAGCAGCACATATACTAAAAATCAATCACTCAACAATGAAGATGAGTTAATATTGTTCTTCCTCAAATGTAGTATTAATGCCAAAAAGGATGTTTTAGAGCCCTTTAAAAAATATCATTTGGCATAAAAGATGGCTGCTGGAAGTTTTAAAAGTATGATTGCTCTTAGGTTTCCTTACCATGGGGAAATAATCCTAAAAACAATAGGCAATATGTACTTTGTAGCTAAATAATGACTTCCAAATTACTGAGTAACCATATAAAAAAATATCAGGGGCCAGGGATTTAGCTCAGTGGTTCCACCACCTGCCTCACAAGTGCAAGGACCCGAGTTCAATCCCCGGTACAAAAAACACAACAAAAAAAACACAAAAGAAATACCAGAATTTAAACAAGATACATGAATCTGGTAATGTCATCAAAAACCATAAGCAGGGCTGGGGATGTAGCTTACTGCCACCTGCCTCGAAAGCGCAAGATCCTGAATTCGATCCCCAGTACTGCCAAAAAAAAAAAAAAAAAAAAAGCAGCTGAAGACTATTTCTTACTTGAGAACTTCCCACCCCATATGTTTAAGAATTGATTAGTGAAGGAATTATACTTGTAGTATGAAAAAGGATGGTATGTCGATTAATATTATAACATGGTATTTTCAGTTTAAATATAAAAAAATTTGGAGCAATTAAATCCATACTGATTGAGAATAACTAAAACTACTTATACCTATTTCTTAGAAGACATATAGCCCCTTGTCTCTCATTCAAACCATGTTGCTATATGTACCAAAAAATATATATATTTCTTGTATACTGTTAAGATGTTTTATTACACCACTACCCTTTTCGCCATCAGGATAAAATTATATTTTAATAAGGGTAACACTTTAACCTACATTAATATTCTGCATGCAAAGATGAAGGTCTTATATTCTACACTTATTAAGTCTGGAGAAAGTTTAATATTAAAATGTTTAAGGACTTACAATTGTAAGCATGGATTTCAAACACTATTTTGAACTTCTAAAAATATGAGCAGTAACCTAAATGAACAAAAAACCCACTCATCTGTCACAAAATAACACAAACCTTACTAATCTATTTTTCTTATGCTGCAAAAGGTAGTCCTTTAAAAAAAGTAACTACCAAAATAATTTTTCAATAATATGAAAATAATCATGCGGGCTGGGGATTTAGCTCAGTGGTTTCGCCACCTGCTGCACCATCGCAAGGACCCGAGTTCGATCCCCGGTACCAAAAAAAAAAAAAGAAAATAATCATGTATCTCACATGAAATTCTAGAAGTTGTTGACAATTCTCTTAACGAAAACCTAAGGGCCGGGGATGGAGCAGTAACTCAGCATTTGGAGTACTTGCCTGGCATGTGAGAGGCCCTGGATTCAATCCTTAGCACCACAAAATAAATAAAAAAATAGAAAAAAGGATAAGAAAATATAGAGGCTTAATATAAGATAGTCCAACAGTATTAGATACTGTTCTAACTGGTCTCCAAGAAATTCTGTTAACTATAGTAAAAATTTCTATGTGATATGACATAAACTGCAACAATATCTGTTTGGAAAAAAATATTATTTTAGGGCCAGGGATTTATATATAATATATAATATATATATAATATATATAATATTATATAATATATATATATATAATATATATATATTATATATATATCGTGCCTGTCTCACAAGTGCAAGGTCCTGAGTGCGATCCCCGGTACCAAAAAAAAAATTCTTTTAGTAGCAGAAGAATCCAAGGAAACAAAGTCCTGTAACCAAAACCTGCACCTGCACCTCCCCAAACACCTGCTAAGAAAAAGTTTATGGGAAAATAAAGTTTGATTAAAGAAAATAAAAGCATAATCTTCTAGAGGAAATACAGTGAGCAGACTACCAGAGTCTTACAACAAAACACTATTGCATCTGAGAATTTCAAATAAAAACAGACCATGCCCAGCCGGGTTATAACAAATGACTTACACAGCACAGCCACAGCCCCAGACTCGAACATGAGACATTCTTCTTTATGCCTAGTTTCCACTATGAGGCTGAAAGGTGGGGGATCCAATTTGTGATAGATCCGAAATCCTTTGCTGAACGCCATTCTCCTTTCTTCAGAGGCAGCCCTGTGACCAAGCAAAGCAAAGCAAATGAGGCTGAGGTTTCCTTCTGCTGCAAGGACTACAACATGCACAAGTCCCTCCCTGCCAGGTTTGGACTGGGGTGGGGGTGGGAGGGTGAGAAAAGAAAAAAAAGGAAGCTCAGGGGGGTGAATGATTTATTCTACAAGATAAGACGTCACCAAATTTTACCAAAAAGCTAAAGGGAACAGCTCCCAATTCTCGTGCCAAGGCAAGACAGGCTTTTAGCACTGCTAGTCCAGAAACGGTTTGGTTAAGATGAGTTTCCCGTTTAATTTATGTTTACCGAAAGGAAAAATTTTGAGCATATTTTGGTTTGGGGTTGTTTATCAGCCTCCTGCTTCAAGATTTGTCATTACGTGGGAACGGAACAGACTGGGAAACTTCAAGGCAGTCTTTAGGGGGTGAAAGGAGAGGAGGTGGGAGGAAAGGTTAACAAGGCTGATTCAAAGCTCCTTAGGGGGCCGGAGAGGGAGAGGATTATCCGACGCCGCAGGCTCTCCCCGAGCAACACGCAGGGCAGGGCAGGGCAGGCGACACAGGTTAACGCCCGCTGAGGGGCGGCAAGCGGGGCTGTTAAATTGCAAATGACCACCGGGAAGTCACCAGTCAGGGCGCGGACCCGACCGGGTGTCTGGGGGTCCCGGGCAGTCGGCTGCCTGAGAAAGCGATTCCTTCCCAGGGGAACAGGCGCCAGGCAGCCTGACGCCTCCATTATGCGCCAGAAGCGACGCCCCGACCCTCAGACTGACTCGGTTCCTTTCCCGCGGGGCGGCTGACAGCCGCTGTCACACAGCCCCCAGCCCGACACTGCGCCCCGCACAAGCCGCGGTCTCCTCACGAACTCGCTCCCCGCCCTCTCGCGCCCCGAATCCTCGCGGCCGCTCCTCACCGCTCCCTCGGAGGCTGGGACAGTGGAGACCGCTCCGGGAAACGTCCGCCCGCCCGCCTGGCTGCCGGTGGGTCTGGCCGCGGCCGCTCCCCGCCCCCCACCGGCTTGCTCACCTCTTCCTCCGGCTCCTCCTCCTCCCGCTCCCGCAGCCGCCGCCGCCGCAGCCGCCGCCGCCACAGCCGCCGGAAGCGTCACTTCCGCTCCAGCAGGCCCATCTCTTCCGCATTGCGCCGCCTCCGGGGCCGGAAGGGCCGCCCCTCGCGAGGGAAGGGGCGGGGAGTCCGCGGGAGCCCCGCCCACACTGCCGCCCGCCGGGCCCGGAACCCTCGGACCGCCGCCGCGAACACCTGTGGCGAGCTTCGCTGTGGTCCGCCCCGCGGCCGCGGGCCCAGCTCCCGGGAAGCCAGAGAGCGAGGATCCGGCCTCCCCGGCTCCCTCACGTGGGCCCTCCCCATGGGCGCCAGGGAGGGACTCCGGGGAAGAACTCGGGGGGCTGGTTGACACGTGCCCGTTGGCGTCAGGACCTCCCCCTGCCGCCTCCCCCGGCCAGCCCGGCGCCAGGGGGCGGAGCAGTCCGCCTTCCGGCCGAGCGGGAGGTGCCTGAAGAGCTGTCCATGGTGTCGGACGGAGCGGCGCGGTACTTATTCCAAGCTCTGGGTAGGTAATCAGGAAGAAAAACTATGGCCTGCTTTGAAACCACTGTTCTCTACCTTCTTGTGTGTTCTGGAGCTCCCAGGAGTACTTTAGTAAAGTGTTCAGCTTATGTAGGATACAGACTGGGAAGTCAGCAACCAGGTGCTCAAGGGTGAATTAAAGTGAGACCCAATCCAAACATGGGCATCTGAAATGAATAGACACTTCTCAGATGAAGAAGCAGTAAATAAACTTGAAAAAGTGTTCAACATCACCGGTCATTTGAGAGATGCAAATGAAAACAGTGCTGAGATTCCACCTCTAGAAAGAATGGCTGCTATCAAGAAATCAACAAATAACAAATGCTGGGGGGGTTGTGGGGGAAAAGAGACCCTTCTCCACTGTTACTGGGAGTGCAGACTGGTGCAACTACTGTGGAAATCAGTGTGCAGATTCCTCAAAACACTAGGATTAGAGGTCCCATTTGACCCAGCTATTCTCTTTCTGGGTATGTTCCCAAAAGAAGTAAAAGCATCATACCACAGCCATATATGTGCACCCATGTTTATAGCAGCACAGTTTGTAAGAGCTAAATCTTGGTAACAGCCCAAATGCCCATCAACTGGTGATTGGATAAAGATGTGGGGTGTTTTTATAAAATGGTGTACTATTCAGCCATAAATGATAAACTGGAGACATTGCTAAATGGATACATCTTGAGACCATACTCTTTTAAGTGAAATAAATAGGACCCACATGTGTAAATACCGAGTTGTTTCTTTGGTGTTAGAAACTGAAAGTGTAAAGGAGGACCAAAATGTATAATAGATGTGAACTAGGAAGAAAAAGTTCAAAAGGGAAGGTGAACTGGGAAGGGGGGGGGGGCAAGGGAAAGGAAAGAAGGGAAAGAAAAAATGAGAAAAGGAAAAAATGGAAACAGCTTTTGTAAATAGGGATGGAGGAGTGGGAGGGAAGGGGAATAGGAAAAAACAAGAAACAAGATATATCGTGTACAGCTACAAATTCCCAGTGATGAATGCGATCACAATGTATACCTAAAATGTACCAGTAAACTTAATGGAGAAAACAACAACAACATGGTGTCACTTAATGACAATTTCTACCAACCGTGGAATCTAGTTACTACATCAAATCCTCTTATCATTTTTCAAAAATCATGCCTGATTACTGCCTGTGTGTCCCAAAGATCTGTTCTGCCCCCATTTAATAGAACTTAAATGAGAATGAAGTTGAAGCCAACAGGGTGGAAAGGAATTGAAAACTGAAAATCTTCGCACTGAGTGAGAAATTTTTCCCATTTGCCTTTGCTTTTTCTTTACCTCTTCCTCTTCTATTTTGCCAGGAAAAGCAGAATTTAAATTTTGTGTGTGCTGCACAAAATTATTTCCCTTTTAGGCCCTCAGATGACTTAGCATTTCTCCATCTATTTTAGAGAAGCAAGACAACCCACCCTGGTTTCAGGACTCAAATACATTAGAAAAGAAGCCACACCTAAATCAAGGAGAAATACAAGAGCACTTGCATTTAGTTCTGAGAACTAGAAATTTCTCATTTAGCATTTTTTTTTTTGTACTGGGGATCGAACTCAGGACTTGATGCTTGTGAGGAAGGCACGGTGCCACTGAGCTATCATTTAGCACCTAAAAAACTTTTATTCTTTGTAGTGGTTGCCCACAACTGCCTCAAAATTAATTTAAAAATAAACTAGTCTGTAGTTACTCATTTTTTTCTTTGTAGAAAAGCCTAACCGAACTGAGAACTCCACTTGATATAGAAATAGAATTTCTGGGAATGGAATTTTTGTTATTAGCCTTTTTAAGTATAATGCTTCTAACAGCCCTGATAGGGACCAGAAAAAAAATAAATAAAAAGGAATGGCTTTAGGAGAGATGTTACTGGATTGCATTGCATGGGAGCTACCTTTTTATGAAATTACTGTCAGGTCACAGTCTGAAACCAAACCTGCTTACCCAAACCCAAGATTCTGCCACACTTTTGTTTGCCCAAACCTACGCTAAAACTCCTCCTTCCTTAGGGTGGGAGTCACCAGGCTCTGTGAAGAAAATGTTCAGCCTATTCCTTGTTCTGGTTCATTTTGATTTTGGACAGAAGTTGAGGTCTAAACTACTGGCTTGGGACTGATTCCAAATTAAACAGAAGGCCACAGCTTGTGCAAATCCTTTTGAAATAATGTCATGAATTATACACACACTTGTGGTTTGAAACACATAAAGGCGATTTTACTAGTGGATTTTTATACATTATTTTTCTTGTCCCTCTTTCCTTTTTATACTTTTGTTACAATGTTTGAAAATAGCTACACAAATTGTCACCAAACACCTAAAGTGTCTTTAGGGTAGGCTGACTTAAAATGCGGGTTCAGAGGCATCTGCCAACTCTAGTCAGATTCTAAGGGTATGCAAAGCATACATAGAGTATACATAAAGGTATGCTCTTGACCCTTGAAACTGATTAACGAGAGGCCTGAGACAGGCTCAGAAATACCATTCCAAAAAATATCCACATCCACATGCTTCAACCCTGTGAGTGGTTATTTAGGTAGGAATGGTCTTTGAAGACATGAGTAAGGACCTTGAAGATTACTCCAGATTACCCAGGTAGGCCCTAAATGTAATCACCAGTGTCCTTATAAAGAGAGCTGGGTGTGGTGGCACACATTTGTAATCTCAGCATTCAGGAGGTTGAGACAGAAGGATCTCAGTGAGTTTCAGGCGAGCCTGAGCTACATACACTGAGTTCAAAGCCATCCTGAACTACATAGCAAGGCCCTGCAGAAAGAAAGGGGGAAGGCAGAGGGACATCAGATACCCTCAGAGGAGAAGGCAATGTGAAGACAAAGCCGGGGACTGGAGCAATGTAAACACACACCAAGGAATATCAGCAATAAAAAGTTGGAAGAGGTGAGGAAGGATGTGAGCCTAGAGTCTTTACAAGGTCTTGCCAACATCTGATTTATAACTTCTGACCATGAGTGATTAAATGTGCTGTTTTAAATCACCCACCTAATTTATGGTAGTTTGTTACAGCAAATGAGAATTCCCTTCAAATGAAATAAATGGATATTCAGGGCTGGAGATTTAGCTCAGCAGTTTCGGCTCCTGCTGCGCAAGCGCAAGGACCTGAGTTTGATCCCCGGTACCAAAAAAAAAAAAGAAATGAACATTCTCTGGTTGAGATATGAAAACCACTTGTGTCATATGCAGTTATATGCTGAATTCACCTTGCACTGAAGTCCTTGCACAGTGTTCAAACCTATTTCTGAAACCCAAATAGCATGTTTATTGAAGTTGAAAATTAATGTTCTGACTTTAATTCTATTTAGAGGGCCATTAAGATATAACAAAAAATTCATCCATATGACTATGTGGGGATAAGCAATGTTCCTGCAATAAAGATAAAATGGACAGAGCACGTAGAGTGCCTAACATTGATTTGTGTTGATCAAGGGTACACATGGACAGTCTCACTACATTAAATCATTTGAAATGCTCTAAATTAGTCAGAAGCAAAATACAACAAGGGTATATTTAAAAATTAATTTAATGCTTGGCTAAAGCTTAATTACATATATAATTATCAAACAATAGTTCTTAATTTCCAAAAAGTTCCTCTTGAAAATCACAGAATCAAAAAGCATAAACTTTAAAACAAGTTCTCTGAATATTTACAATGTGATACAAACATTATAGAAGACCATGGATATTAAATTGCCTGGGTGTGGCTAATCAGCAAGACGTATTCTTTATTGCATATATAACTCACATATGTGGGATTTTTAAATATAATTATAGATTACTAAAATTCAAACGCACATATCTGTAAGCTGGGCAGGTAAAAAAGTCATGAATGAGACAGGACAGTCAGCCTAAACCATGCATCTAGGTTGTGGGCCTATTATTTTAAAAAACTAAACTTCTATGTTCAATCTGAGAGTACACTGCATATATTATTTAAATTTCACATTAAACCCAAAGTTGCCTGTAACGCTGATTCAAGGAATTAAGTTCAGCATTCATTCAATGACTAAGTCCTTAACTCGGCTCTCAATTTTAAGGCAGCACAGCTACAGTGATAGCAACGCCAACCAAAAGGGGATGAACATTTAGTCACTTGCCAGCCCTTTTGTTGCAATAGTATAGTAATTTCCCTAGGAAAATTTGCTACTGGGTAATTTTCTGTTGTTAAAAGGCTTCCTCATAGAAAAACACCACAAATCTCCAGGGTGAAAGTCCATGGTGGTATAAATATATATATGCATAATTACACAATTTACACGGCACACAGCATTTAGAGGACAGTTAATTAAGCGTTAATCTGAATGACCATACAAAATACTTCTGTAAACAAAGTATGACAGGCAGTAAGGAAAACATTCATAGACTCCTAGAAATAATCTCAATTCCTTTCATCCTGAAGAAATTGCATTTAAGGACACAGAATTGAATATGGGTGGGTGGGGTTTTTTTGTATTAAAACAAGAATCAGTATTTTACAGTTTAAGAAACTTTACATATATACAAATTTATACACTGGGAATGGTATTAAAGCAAGTAGGCTTTCAGCCTC